AATCTGCTGTTTTACATGATTGTTGAATGAAATTAACATAGTTATTAATTTATTGTAAAAACATGACAGATAATCTGTGAAACAGATCTGGTTCAGCTTGTTGTTTATCTATTAGTCTCGATGGAGGCTGTGAGCCGTTGTCCAGTTTGGTCTGTTTCTGCTCCTCCATGTTGTCTCAGACCCTACCAGTGTACGGTATGGGCTGGGCTCAGTCTAGTGATCTTTATATGTAAGTCTATGGTCCACCTTTGACTTTGCATGTAAACCGGATGCTCCTGATGCTCAAAACGCCTTTTGTGTAAATGTACTATTATTAGGAATGGTCTGACATTATGCCTGGACCAGTGATTCTCTCTAAGGTTAACCACTGGGTGGAACAGATTTTCACAGGGGAACTGAATTTCGCACAACACCGGCATTTTGCAGCGCTCCAAGCGCTGTGAACATCTAGTTGAGCATCACTCTGATATCAGTCAAAGTCAGAGGCTCCCAGTTAGGACGCATTCTCATAAAATCCAGTAGGCTAAGGTTAAATCCAGTTTTTCAAATGCAATGCAGCTCCATTCTTGGAACTGAAAGTTTTCAAAAAAAAAAAAAAAACCTTACCAAGCTGTATTTATCAGGATCATACGACGGAATAGTAATTAAAAGAAAACAACTCGTAGTGTGGCCCTAATACTCTGTCGTAGTATCAAAATGTTTAATACAATGTAATGTTGCTTCTCTGTCCGCTGAAAATCGAAACTTGTCTAATGCAAACAAACAAAACGTAAACAAACGACAAACGTTTCGTCAATGTTGTATGTGGATAAACTCATCTTTAAATTTTCCTGGATATTAGGAAGGGCATATGTAGGCTCAGATCCAAAGAGCATGCAATTCCATTTTAAAATCTGTTTCAAAATTTAAAGAACAGAATTCCAATAACTGCTGAACTGTACACCTGAAAGGCTTGTGTGTTAGTGATGTGACGTTCATGAACGATCCGAATCTTTTGAACGGCTCTCTACAACAAATTATAGGAGCCGAGTCGCAGGCAGTAACGAGCCATTTGTAGTTTTATTTTATTCCTCATATAATATTTATTGTTTCATCCTTAAATTGCTCCCGCTTTGCTTTTTCATGGAAAATAGGCAGAGMGGTGGAGTATAGAATCTCACGGGAAAGGGGGATGAGGGTTTCTGCTTAACAAAACACATGGTTCCACCCACAATGTGATGACGTCATCACGTGGCCATACGTGATGACGTAACTCGTTCAAAATCGAATGGCTCCCCCAGGATCCGGATCCATTCAAAGAGCCATTTATCCAAGTGTGGCAAGCAAACTTTCTAAGTGATGTCAACAATGATGATGGCGTAATGACGTAATAGCGAACAACCAAATCTCGCGAGAACACGGAGAACGGGACCTCGACAACCACTTCTCGGAGGTGGTGAGCCAAAAAACTCTAACAAATAAGCATGAACTTTATTTTCCCGTTTTACTCCTGAGCTGTACAGCGGAGTATTTTAACAAATAAAAAGTCAGTGTATATATTTTTTCTGGCTTAGACGCTGAAGCTTATTCTCAGTACTACAGTATGTTGTGTACAGTGTGATAAATAAAAACAACACAGACATTCTTTGTTTTATTCAGACAAATATATATTTTAAAATGCACATGGTGCAGTAATTCATGCAGAATTTAGTCTGTGAACTGTTTAAAATGTACAAAACTTTAATCTGTGCTCTGAATCTTCTGTTTATGTACAAGCATGCTGGCTTGCGACAGATGGACATCTGTGTTTAAAGGTACAGTTCAACCATTTGAAGTAGCATTTAAGTTATGAACCTGATTGGACTGGATGTTTTTCCACATATAAAACCATAAGTGTTTCACGTAGGACTTCATCCTCAGCTGCTTGAGGCCAAAATCCTAAAATATATACTTTAGATTTTAAAAAAGACATGAAACATCTTTTAAAACTTTTTAACTCAGATTTTCAATAAAAAGAAACCTCAGCACATTTCTTAAATGTATCACATACTATATTTAAAAAATAAAGGCTGGATTAAAATTACAAGTGAAATTTAAAGGTTTTGTTACGTAAACCTCATTTACACCAGCTTATAAAATASATCTCAAAAACATACATACAGAAAAAAAAACATACAATATCAGAACACAGTCGTTTTTAAATGTGCATAAATACACAAGTCATGCATAAAAGCAGATAATCTTACAAACTCAGATCAGAAATTGTTGAGATACATAAAAAATAAATACAAAAAAGCATAAAAGCTGCTACAATTTGTTTGGTGCTTTGTTTTATCTCATGAGCTTAATTTGATTTTTAAATATGTTTCTGCAACACATTCTAAAAATATTGTAATTTGAGGTTAAAAATGTTCTTTTTGATTCCACTAATTCAAAACATAATTTGTTTCAAAAGCAAACGGACTTAAGGCAGAGAATATCTCCAGATTGTCACTTATTTATCCCAGATTGTCACTTATTTATCAGCAGCTAATGACTGACTTTAGGAAACCTTCAAAAAGCTGCAGGATGTTTAACTTCTCTGTGCAGAAAATAAACCGTGTGTTTAACTTGTCCAAGAGCAGCATCAACTTATCTGAGATGTTTGCTCTGAATCAGAGGGAAAGGAGCGTCTGGATTGTCACGAACAAGTCTAAAAGCCAGGTTCTGTGATTAGTAATRGGTTTGGCAAAATAGTTTTTTCCATTTCTGAGAAGGCAGCATTGGTGCAGACASGTCCAGCAGAGACATTCCCTGCTTTAAACACCACATCTTTGCCATTTTTCCTATAGGTTAATGTAAAACTCAAACCTGAAGTAGCCAGCACTACCTTCACTGATACCAAACTGTGATCTAAAAGTTAAAAGTTACTTAGGAAGAACATTTGGAATGCTATTACTCTTACTTTATTTTTTATTTCATGCTGAACATACAGTTTGTATCCAGATTAACTGCACACAAAGGATGCCAGCAGATTTTCTTTGAATGTTCAGGAAAAAAATAAGGAAAAACTTTATATTRCAGTACATGTTCACAGATTTACAATCACTGTTTTCCCCCCAACTTCAGCAGAAGACCTGTAACTTCACAGTGTGATAAAGTAAACAGGTCAGTACAGAACTTTATGGATCAGGTTCGGCTGTCAGCTTGCAGTGACAGACACCAWCAACATTGATCACATCGTCGAGCATATTTTGGGAGAGCTGGTTTCTGCGTTGGCCTTCTGCCGGATGGATTCTGAATGATTAACAACAGAAAAACGAGATTACAACATATATTGATCGAACAGGAAGATAAAAAACACACTAATATAATCCAAATAAATAGTTTTTTTATGTAGAGTAGATCTCAACCACACAGCCTAACTTAGCGTGAAGGATAAGCTCAAGCTGAACTCACCTGCCAGGTCAGTCCGGCAGATTTCCACCAGGCCTTCGTAGAGTCCTTTGATGGGGTTCTCTCCAGCCGTCACCACTCCATGAAGCCAGATTAACAGCATGCGGTGGCCGTGCTCCTTGAAGCTTTTCATGCCTGTTTGAATTCAATTAAAGATGCAAGAACTCTTACTGCCTCCTTGTTACTCAAACACAACTGACCCACARTTAATATAAACCATTAAAGAGTAACTAAACCACAGATCAACTTTTTTTGTAGATAAACAGTCTAAATTATGCCTTAAGGGTATTATCTTTTTATTTCTGTACAAACTGACATTTTTGTGTAAATTTCTTTAATTTTGCAATATTTGGTCAGAGAGTGAGGAGTTAGAACAGCGAGCACTGCGATGAAAGTTTGTTACTGCTTTGATCATTAGCCCATGTTAGCAATGATGCYACATTGTTTTGGCAGCATCAGCTTCATTCATCGCTGAGTCAGCGCCTTAAGCCAGCAGCTCGAACCACTAAGTCTCAGGCCTGCTGGGCTCCACAGCACCCYTCAACCTCTGCAATCCTCCTATTGGTTCAATATTTTTTAAACTAACTACAAAMCTGCTGTTCAGGRTCGTCTTKAAAATTCCCTCGGTAATAAAATGTTGATGTTTAATCCTGAGTGTGGCGGTCGCTCACTAATGTCATCAGTTTATTATCATTACTGAGATACGGCACTGCAGGGTTTTTTCCCGTCTGGTTGCCCGGCTCCGTGCTTCTTCTGAAAGTTGGGCTGAGCTGTCTTGTGAATTTCAAATGAACCTCTGCAACAGTTTGCAGCCTGAACTTAACGTGTTAGTTTGAAACAGCTAAATGTGAGTTTGCATGCATTCATTTTTACTTTTTACAAAATAAATAAATTTCTTTAGAACATTMAGAAATGTTTTCAGAAATGTTAGCTTGTCAAATTATGCTAGCTGTCACGTTCCCTTGTCCTGACCACACCTTTTTTTGGCACCGCCCACTTTGTTGAAACTTTTCAAATCTTTGCAGGGGGCAGGGTTATGCGTTGAAAAGGTGGGGTTAGTTATTTAATCTTTAATAGAATCAGATTAAATCCTGCTGGCAGCACGGCTCACCTGTCCACTGCTGCTCTATAGCTCGAATATGTGCGTCGTTGAAGCTCCAGTGTTGGGCCAGAAGCTTCCACTCTCCACGGCAGAGGTGCTTGGTGGCCAGGCTCCACAGGACCGAGCGGAGGCGCTGGGTTTCAGGATCGTGGTCCTGTTTGAAGCTCAGAGGTCTGCCCACACAGGGGTCCTGCTCTCTGCCTATGTGATCCTGAATCCAAGATGGAGAACGGGCTTTCAGAATCCATGCACATAAACAGTGTTCTTCATGGGACAGCTCTCTGAACATTCCTCGATCGTCTAACAACCAATACATTCATCACTAGTTCACTGAGGACAAATATAGTGCCCTGTCAACATATTCAAGCTCTTTTATTGTCTTTCTGTATTACAATGTTGAATTGTGGTCATGTTTTGAGATGTTTTAAAAACACCTACAAAAAAACAAAAAAGTCCTCCGAACAAGTCATTGAAAAACCTTTAGGGAAGTACAGGTGAAAGCTTCACAAAGCAACATTAAATTTTTGTTTAGAAAACTAAAAACAAATACAAAAAAAGCTACCATGAAATGGAAGAAAGAGAGCAGACGCTAACGTAACGARACCCACAGTTGTATAAAACTAACAGGGTATGGCCCATAGGACTCCATTGAAGAGTGGCTAGAATAAAGCCTTTTCTTATAATAAAACAACAAATATTAATAAAACACTGAATGTGGTGTAAAATCCCAACTTCTCATTACACAGATGACTGCCATGACAAAGAAGCATGGTGGTGGCAGTGTAATGGTGTGAAGATGTTTTTATTATTTGAAAGGAGAAGACAAAAGAACAAGGTGGGTTAAAAGTCACAGGACACTCTTATTTCAAGGAAAGGGGACATGACATATCTGAACACCCCTGTAAAAAAAGGTGAGGGGTCTATCTTATGAAAATCTTGCCTTTGATCCAATATGGCAGCTTTCAAATTAGTGGCCATGGTCTGGATACAATGTGTCCAAAACACTGGGCCGGGTCCTCCGAAGGTCGAATTCGTCGGCCGCATACGTCACAGCGGCACAACGAAGGCCGTCCAAAACCAAAGACTCCTCCGATGCGGCCGACAAATACGTCCTTCCTTTGGCCCGAATCGAAGGACTGGTCTGATGGATCCTTCCCGGCCCACCATATCCCATAATGCATTGCGGCCCGACTGGAGATTTTTTTAATGCTAGTAATGGCGGACGAAGCGAGACAAAAGAATATGTTTTAAATAAAAATATGGTGACATAAAAATTTACAATTTTTAGCGGTTGTAATTCTAACACTTTTATCATTTGTATAGGCATGTTTTTAAATATTATTTTTGTCATAAAAAAAGTGAAATAAACATGCACCTACAGCGGGTCAATTAGTTCTTCAAATGTTACCTTTAAGTAAATTTTATTGTTTTGTAATATTAATAATGCTAATATATTGAT